CATGGCGCTACTTAGGCGCCGCAAGTAGGCTGCCGGGGCTCACTATATTCCTGCACTGGCTGCGCGGGCAAGTGGGCAAGAAACCGCCTAAAGCGCGCGGCATGAATGAACTGAATTGCTTCAGCGTAGTAGCGTCTAAAATTCCGCTAGCGGCTTCGAGTGCGGCACGTACGCGGCGCAGCTCCTCGGTGCAGTTTCTGAGTATTACGCACGTAAGCTGCTGGCGTAGGCGTTTCCGATAACGGCACTGCGCAACGCCGTACGTATCGAAAGAGACGCCGCCGGCGTTGTTGCAAATTGCTGGCAACGTGCTCTGCTAGCTTGACCGCGCAACTCTGCAGAGCTGCGACTGATGTCCAGAAATGTTAGAAATTTGCAGCCTGAAACGAAGTTGGGCGATGTAATGGCGAACGTCAGCTGAAAAGGACTTCCGTAGGTCACGTTACGAAGGTACCTTCACAACGTCACAGACAGACTTGCCGAAACGTTGCCCAGGTTATGTTGACGGAAGCCGATTTGGACGACGTTGCGACAGCGTCGAAAGCGCACGGGAATGCATACGATTAAAGCAAGAACGCGGAAAGCCGCCGACAGTTACCCCGCAGGCTATTGGCATGCAGTGACTGAAGAACGCGGCAACTAATTCACTAAATCACTAGGAACCTACTAAACTTCAAAAAGATAAAATATACACGCTTGTCCTCTGCGGTGGCCTTCGTTAGCCCTATGTATGGCTCAAATTGAAGACGCTCATCTGACGAGATGAAGAATCCACAGTTGAACACATACTGCTTGAATTCTTCTGTTCGGCTCGCATGCGTTGCAAACGTAGCTCGAGAGCCATATCTGACCTGGCTCTTCTGGTTCTTCTTTACTCTCCAAAACGTTGCTTCGTCGAAGTTAACTACCCAAGTCTTTGAAGGGTCTCCAGACCGCCAAACTAGCTCGAAATCTGCCCACCCAGTAAGAAGAGCCTTGCTAAGCTCTACCCCGTTTCGGCGAGACTTAAAGCCAGTCTGTACTCGAACTGTTTCGATCTGCCATCGGTGCTTGAAAGCTCGAAGCCAGTTCCTCGCCGCGCTCGATCCTGGGCCATCCCTGAGAATTGCTAAGCTCTCTCGCAACTTGTTCGCACGAGCGCGCACGAAGAACAAATCTACTATTTCTTCCGCGTTAGCGCCTCCAGGGACTTGAGCGACATAGTCCCTAACTTCCTTCTCCGTTTTCTCGATCGCCCGGCCTTCCTCCGATGCTAGCCTTTTATTAAATGTAACAGGCCCGCGGCGTCGCTTTATAATAGGGCAGCCACGAACGTTTACTGCTCCTGTTAACGTTGAAAGCCTCGGCATTTTTACCTGAGAAAAAACTCAAGTTAAAAAGAGAGGCAAGCGTGATAGTCCAAGGTTAAATCTCTAAGCCAACTGGACAGTTGGCTTAGAGGTTTAGGCTACAAATATGCTCACTTATGAGAGCAGAAAAGGACTAACGCTGATCGAGTGCAAGAGAGAAACGCAACATAAGCTATACTAGGACAAAAGAGACGCTACACTAGATTAAAAAGACAGCTATACTAAAATGCATCTGCATCTACAATAATTTATGATTATAGTACCTGAATTTTTCAGCCTCCTATAAAATCTCGAATCTTCAGTATCCTATCGACAGTCTGCTTTGCTGCAGTAAGTTCCAAAAAAAATGTCCCACTTAGTCGGCTTCTTGATGAATGATCATGTTCTTAAATTTCTCCACAATAAAGCACAAGATGAGCTTCTACTACTCCTTCTACGAGTCCTCCTCGTTATCTTCTGCTACTGGTCCGGCAAGAAGCTCGGAAAGGAAAGCGACAGAAACTTGCTGATCCGCAAGACCGTCGCCAGACACTGGAAGATTAGATGTCTGACCAGAACTACTAGAAGCTCCGCTTCCTGCTCCTCCGCTGCCAGTAGAGTTCTGCAAGCTGCGCTGCAATTCGGTTTGAAAATGACGATCGGAACGCGCGATCCCGTCACGCTTCCCGGTAGCGATCTCCAGAGCACTCTCACGATCGACGCGAGCGCGTTTTGCGGACGACTTATCAAGGCGCAGAGTGCGAAGTTTCTGACTGAGCTGACCAGCACGAATAGTATCTCCACGACGCTTAGCTTCCGCCAATTGGCGGACAAGGAGCTTCTCCTCCTCCTGACGCAAGCGCGCACGATGAGATTCTTGCTTTTTCTCAAATCGAAGCGCGCGGATCTCACTCGAAAGGTCCTGAATAGACGACGACACTTTCTTCCTTCTGCTATATGCTGGAGCTCAGATTTCTTCATTGGTACTTCACTTCATACGTACTTAGAGATGTGCAAAGGATAGTAAAAATCAAAATGCGTAAGAAGTGACTGCAGAACCTCGAAGAAGTAGTAGTTGCATGCACTGAGCATGATTCCCTGAAGGCCAAGACACAAGAGAAGTTACAAAATTATAATAAAAGTTCAACTAGAAAAGTCTCTCGATGGCGTAAGTCTTCAACTCAAGATCACTCACGTTAATATGATACAATCTTCACTCTAATAGATACATCGTTCCCTCAACTGATCTGCAGATCTCAAGCGTTAAAGGATATAGATCTTAGACACATGGCAGCCGCATCTCCGTGTGCTTTCACGCCTGCAAGATTAAAGATTTACAACTGCATCACGAGCTCTGAAGATCTAGCACAAGATCGATGAGCTGAAGGTTTTCCTTCCAATAAAAATGACATTCATGGCTTGCAGAAAGGTGAGATCTGAACATCTTTCACAGAGAAATACAAGAATTAGAATTTCATATATTGAGTTCTGAGATCTTTTGAGTGACATCACGCTCATGAACTACAAGCAGATAAGCGATACTTCAAAGAACATACAGAAATATGAGTGCTATAACACGATTATTTCGACATCTACGATACGACGAAATAGCATAATAGAGCGACTTACACGTATGACATAAAGAGGACACTGACACTGACAAGCACACTCAAAATAATGTTAAGCTGAGACAATCATAAAATGTAGCAGGAGTGAAGATCTAAACTACAGATCAATAGATAGAACAAATTGTCGTCAGCCTCTATAGCAACAGCACTGAAAGTGATATATCTCCTCCTACAAGTGGCATCTGTCCTTGAGTATACATTTGATAAGACTACACAAAACCACAGAAATCAACGCCAACGTCTATGACGCCTTAGTCTTCTGCCTCTTCATATGCGAAATCTTGCCTACTTTATCGGGCTTGCTGCAGCCCAATGGAAATTGCAGACCCGATATTTCCAGGCGACAAAAAATATCCCAAACTTTCTGCAGCGAATCCTTGTACGGCTTCATCTTCGGATCAGCTTTACGCAGAAGGGGCGGGTTAGAAGATAGTGTAAACTAGAAATGAGAGCTGCACCAAGTAAGCGTTTCCCTAAGGAGCCCCCTAATAGATAAAGATAAACCCTAGCCTTAATCTTCTCATAGGCTGTCACCTTCTTAATCAGCTCCTTCTGGTCCATCGAGTGAACGACTTCGAGGTAATGACCTCGTAACATCTTCGCGATGATATCGTTACGCCAGTTTGCTCGTGCATCACTACAGCCTTGATCGCCGCGAGATAATCCAGCAATTTTACAAATGACTTCGGAGTCTTGATCGGTGATCCAACCTGAAGGCAAATATGCGAGAAATTCTACAAGAACAATAATAGCTAGAATGACTTGGTAGGTGATCCAACATGAAGGAAAATATGCAAGAAATTCAACAAGAACAAGAATAGCAAGAATGACGAGATTGATTAGAGACAAAGAAGTAGCTCTTAGTATACATCTACCAGTAGAAACTAAAACTTAAAATATATTATACCCTTAACGCGCAGCACCTCCTTCACCTTCATACGCGGAAAGGGACACGAAGTCCCGAATTCACAATCCCACACTTCTTCGCAAAAAATATCATCTTCGTCATCGCTTAATTCGTCAACGCCAATAGAAGTATCGTGATCACCTTGCTTTGACTGCTGCGAGGCGCCACCTTCTCCACCATTGCATCCCTTCATGAGCTCACTCAGCGACATAGGCTTCGCATTAGCTGCAGCAGGAGTAGTTAGTTGAATAGTCTCAGGAGATGCTCGACTAGTGCCACAAGAGGTAGTAGCTCCTACACCAGCATTTGAAGAAGTTCGTCCGAAATTTGCAGCCGAAGTAAACGCACAACTACTAGACCCAGGCGTATCCCCAGACTTTCCTTTTCCTTTACCAATAGGAACCCAGCACATCATCTGCCACTCGCTGTCCCAATAACTATATCCTTCGCCATCATGCTGTGCAGGAGGAAAAGAATCGAAAGTGCGGCAGGGCCCAAGCGAAATACTAGATAAAGGAGATCCGCGTGTACTCGTCTGCGACGACAGATCTGAAAAAATAGACACAAAAGTGATATGTTGATGCAAAGATCATTCGCGGGAGACTACTCCTAGATGATATGAAGTGCTGCATTCTCGACTAAGAAAGAGCAGGACATAAATACCAATCTCCTCTTTCTTAAACGCTGCCGTCTGAGCAGGAGCACCAGATGAAGCGTCAGCATCCTTTTTCTCCTTAGCCTGCTGATTAATCTCCTTAACCTGGTCAGCAACAGAACAACCCGAAGCACGATTGGCAGCATACTGCTCATAGGTCTGAGTCTTGCAATCGTCGGCAGGAGTATCTGCAAATAGAAGTGAAAAATATTGCATAGACATGAGACTGCGAAGACGAGATGATGAGCAATAGATTTCTAAAACTATACAAAAATCACAAATCCACCTATATCCTAGAAAAGAGAACTATAACTAGTAAGAAATAATCATTACGATATTAGTTGTCCATACCACTCGGCCCATCGCCATCCGCTGCTTTATCCGACTTGGTCTCGAAGATGCCACGAAACTTAGAGATGTGAGGTTCTCTATCGAATAAGTCAATAAATCGGCAAGCCGGGGGGCCAGCAAGGTAAGCATATCGCCTAGAATCCTTCTTACTAAACGGAGGCGAAACACTGCTGCGACTCCTTGGAACTCCGGCTCTTGCCATACGAAGGGCTGCTACGTGAGGAACAAAAAATAACCATCACCTCAAGACAGCTGAAATAAGATCGAAATGATAAATACCTAGCTAAAAATAACAGCCATAACAGTGATACCTTCCTTCTGCTTCTCGAGTTTCACCTTCTCCATTTCGAGACTTTCACGCACATATTGAAGCTCCTGGCGCTCGATATCAGCTTCATCTTTCGAGCAGTCCAGTAGCTCCTTATCACGTTGATGCTGGTGATAGGTACTATCGATAGCAGAAAGCAAACGACCGCAGCCTTCTTCGAACTCTCGAATCTTCTCCCGAAGCTCATGAGTCCAAGGAGTACCAAGCTCATAAAAGCGCTTCTCAGACGAATCCGGCATACTTTCTAAAAAAACAAATAGTAAATATATCAAGATGATTCACAATACTAGCCTAAGAGCTATTCACGAGCAGATACGAGCTCCGAGAGAAAGAGACAGGTCGAAAAATTCTACAGCCTAAGACAGAAGTGAGAGATCAAATATGACAACAGAGATTAAAATACAAAATAGCTGATGATAAAATAGACAGCCTCCAGAAACAGATCCGAAGCATGAAATACTAGTGAACAACAAGATCCAGACTAAGGTCCAGACTTAGGGAGCATCCAAAATGCATACGCGACGAACACACATACAAATTTGAGAAGCTTGGAAATAGCGACAGCATCAATCACCATCGACAAAAACATACAGAAAACTAATCCATGCCAAAGACAACTAACAAGGAAATGCAGAATCACAACCAAAGTGGAAAGAGTCAGACCGCCCAGAAAATACTCCATCCCCGCACCCCAAAAAATACTCAATCCCCGCACCCCTCGTGAATCACTTGGGTATAGTGTGTAGAGTGTAAATTTGCATCGGTGTCATTCATATACATATATTTATACTACCTCCATTATACATTTATAAATTCCACCCGCCACCATCCGAATCACGAGGGGCGCGGGGATCGCGCTCCTTATTGTGGAAGATGGTTTTTTTTGTTCTCGAGTGGTTGAAAGAAGATGTTTGTTCTCGTGGTCTACTGGCAGTTGTTGGGGATGGTCGGCGGGTAACTAGAAGACTTTTCTTTCTCGTCTCGTTGTTTGTCGTTTGCTGCGCCAGTGTATGCACGCATCCATCGTGTATACTCGTAGATATTTTCGTCGTCTTCGTATTTAGATGAAAATAAGTAGATCGTCGTATAGCGCGCTGACGTTAATATGTTGCTGCTCTCTATTAAATTGTATTCGGCCATAAAGATTAATTCTATAGACTAGCCTTAACTTGTAGATCTCACTAGTGCCCTATGCTCGCTTTTTTAGCAGGCAAGGCCACGAACTTCAGCTCATCTCCTTCGAACTTGAGCAGAGCCTTCCCCTGAATTTCTGCATGTGTTAGATCTAGTGGCTCCTCAGTGAGTGCTTTCGTCGAAGCTCATTAGCTTCGATAAGTTCTATGTAAATATGCACTCACCTGAGCCGTCTTCTCCTTAACTCTTGCATGAGCTTTTTTGCATGCTTCTCCTCGTTCGGCGTGCTCTCATCCTTAAATCTGCGACCCAGTATTTCCTCGATGTATCGGTAAAAGTCGCCCCACGAATACCACGGCGTTCGAGTCTCGGACGTCGCAGCTAAGTGGAGAATGCGATCACTCCCTAACTTCATAACTGAAAGGCAGCGCCTCTCCCACGTATCGCGCATGCTCAAGCTCGGCGTCTGTCCTTGCCATCGCAACCTGGTCATATTTTTCTAGTGCTTTCCCTCAATATTTTCTCTCGAAGATAAATAGGGTGGTAACGTCGCTAGGATAATTTTTTCGCTTTGTAGTTCGTGCGTCGATTTCGAAATCTCTTATAAGTAACCAGCTGTCTCGTATACTGTACTAAATTCATCACTGCGGCCGTCTCTCGTATGCCTTACGTCAGACAGGACGCGCTGTACTATGCAATACCCTCACAGATTCGTAGTGTGGTCATGGCCAATTATTATTTCTTCGCCGCTAGCTGCGCGACTGTTCGCCATAGATCAAAGCGCCGCGGCATGGGATGCACTCTTTGCGGAGCTTATTAGTAGCATTCATGCCATGTTTACTTTGCACTTAGTTGCTGCCTTCGGTCTTGTTTTTGGTTATGCTGCTGAGTGTCATGGTGTGGAAAGGCTCAGACTGTGCGTAGTGTTTTTATTGTATTCCCAATCTATGAGCTCGGGCACGGGAGGAACCAGAAATATATAGCCAACATGGCTACGATTACTTCAGAGGCTAGCAGTTTTCGG